TCACTCAACTATAACATCAATAATAATAATAATAATAATAATAATATGTATGAAAATTTAAAACAACCTTACTAAAACAAGCCAATATTAATAATAACATCAAGAATGATAACGATAACAACCGAAATACTTTCGTCACTCAAATAATACTAAAGATATACCTCGATGAGATGTGCCGTGATCGGTTTCCACAACACTTCGATTCGCTCGATATTCGCCATTGCTGTCTGCTGCAGTTTTGCGACAGCAAAGAAAGACGGTTCCCGGATGAGATGCTGTGGAATGAGCATTATCTCAGAGGAGAGTTTGCAGAGTGCTGCGATGATGTGATGCAGCGAGACGTCATCGAGCTGATTCGTCGACTCGAACAATCTATTCAACATCAATCCGATCGTGCGGACCTCCGTTCGGATGGCTGTCGTCAACACAACATTTGATGATACCATTGGCGATGTGGACGCACTGGTCGGGGTCGGTGCAGAATCAGTCATTAATGCCGTGGATGAGCCGGATGCATTACCACTCTCATTACTACTTTCACCTCAAAATTAGACCCGTTTCAAGCGAAATACTTATCCATTTCTCGTAATTGATCGACTGGAATAATTTTTTGTTCAAGTTCAATGGAACGCTGATTGAGAGTTAATTAAAGTTTTCCAATCTGATTGCGCTTTCATTCCAACAAAACGATTCAAACTGACATATGAATGGGTGATACTTAAAAAACAGGTTCTTCAATAAGCGACGATACATACCATCGATCATGAAACCTCCTTGAATTGTTGGTCTCATATCGAGAATCCAAACCAAATGCTGCACACAATTCAGCACCAGATGCCAACAGTCATTCAGCTGTGAGGCATTCGCTTGCGCACACGAGATTAACACCTTGGCAACTTGAATGTTCTTCGATGTGATCATCACTGATAGATTATGAAAGGCCGACGTAAGCGATGGTGTTGGACAAACCGTTCCGGTGGCAACCACTTGATTGAATTGACCCACCGCTACTTCACCATCTCAAATATTTGTCATTTTCAGATGAATGTCTCAGATTTAATTGCGAATACAAATATAAAGGATGTGATATTATTGATAATCGAACTACAGATCAACATCAACACTCAACCTTTGCTAGCGAATTGTAAGTCTTTATCCTGCAGTGACACATTCGAATAGACATTATTGGTGCTGTTGCCGTTGTGAGTGCTTGCCATCGGATTCACATTAACGAATCGCATGAAATAGTTTTGGGGCAATGCGGCTTTGCACAGCGCATACATGGTTGCATCCCGACCGACTGTATTCTGAAGACGACATGACAGCGATACCAACGTCAGAAGTGCGTTCAATAGTTGATCACTTATCGATTCATCGGTACTGAAAGAAATCTTTCGATCATACTGCAATCAACTTTC